TGGGTGGGATTTCTCAAGAAGAGAATGGAGAAGGTCTTAAATTGGCGTGAGGAAAAAGAATAAAATATCTCCTAGTCTCTCTGAGACCAGGATGCAGTTTAGCCTGGCAGCTCGCAACGCTTTTCTGAGGTAGGCAAGATGAAGTCAGCCAACAGTAAGACAGAGGGCTGGCTAGGAAGAGGTCTGAGCATGGACCTGGACCCCCACCACAGCTGTCAAGATCCTCTGAGTTTTAATATCTCACTCCCATTATCCCCCAAAGTCCCAGAAAGTTCTCATTAAAAGTAAGTTTGGTCTCAGCTGTTCTATGGGAAGTCATGTGCTGCGCTTTCAATGTGCCCCCAGTGTTCACGTGCTAGAGACTTTATCCCCCATGCAACAGTGTTGAGAGATGGGACCTGTAAGAAGTGATTAGGTCCTGAGGGTTCTGTCCTCAACAGCCTTATCCCTGGAGTGGGTTCCTGATTAAAGGATGTGTGTGGTCCCCTCCTGCTCACTCTCCCTTTCTTGTCCCTCCACCTTCCACCATGGGATGATGCAGCATTGAGGCCCTTGCCAGATGCAGGCCCTTCACCTTAGATTTCCCAGCCTCCAGACCTGTAAGAAATAAATCCTGCTCTTTATAAACTACTCAGTCTTAGGGATTGTGTTATAGCAGCACAAATGGACTAAGACACCATGGAGGGTCACAGAGGAGGGGGAGACGCAGGGAGAGTGGCGTCCAACCCCTGCACAGGCCAGAAAGGCCAGAGCAGCAGCTGCCAGGTGGGCAGGGAGCTGAACTCAGCCATGGGACAACCTCGCAGATGTCACCAACAAAAAAGGAGCCATGTGGTGGCAGGTGAGAAAGCTGGCACTGAAGAATGGTGAGCACCTTCGAGGTGGTCTCCTGGGAAAGGCTCCAACACCTAGCAGGCTTCCAGGTATGGAAAGAAAGGAATGATCCGTGATTTTTAGAAGTAGGATGCAAGGGGTTCATGCTGTCAGAATTATCTGGAAAGCTAGATCTGAAAGATAAATCATCTATAAGGATTTTCCTTCAAAGCACTTACCCCCAGTTTCATCTTTTATTTATTTGCAACCATCATTGCCTGTCTTCCTCTCCAGACTGTGTGCTTCATGAAGGCAGAGCTGTGTGTGTTTTGCTCATCGCTGTTTCCCCAGCTCCTAGCTGGCACATAGTAGGTACTCAAAAAATGGGGTGGACAGATAAACAATGTAAAATTAAAATGTTCTGGAGTGTTTGATTCGTCTCACTTTCTCTGTGTTGCTAACTTTTTTTTTTTTTTTAACCAAGAAAAGTATATTTTCAAGGAAAGGAAGACATGTTTTTTTTTTTTTTTTGAGACGGAGTCTCGCTCTGTCGCCCAGGCTGGAGTGCAGTGGCCGGATCTCAGCTCACTGCAAGCTCCGCCTCCCGGGTTCCCGCCATTCTCCTGCCTCAGCCTCCCGAGTAGCTGGGACTACAGGCGCCCGCCACCTCGCCCGGCTAGCTTTTTTTGTATGTTTTAGTAGAGACGGGGTTTCACCCTGTTAGCCGGGATGGTCTCGATCTCCTGACGTCGTGATCCGCCCGTCTCGGCCTCCCAAAGTGCCGCGCCCGGCCGGAAGACATGTTTTTTATGGAAAAAGAGTCATCTCATAAATATAGTGTTGCAGTTTCAGTCTGAGTTGTAGGAATTTATTTATTCATTTATTTATTTATTCAGAGACAGAGTCTCACTCTATTGCCCAGGCTGGAGCACGCAGTGGCTCAATCTTGGCTCACTGCAACCTCCGCCTTCTGGGTTCAATCGACTGTCCTGCCTCAGTCTCATGAGTAGCTGGGATTATAGGCACGTACCACCACGTACCACCACGCCCAGCTAATTTTTTTGTATTTTTAGCAGAGATGGGGTTTCACCATGTTCGCCAGGCTGGTCTTCAACTCCTGACCTCAAGTGATCTGCCCACCTCCCAAAGTGCAGGGATTACAGGCATGAGCCACCACGCCTGGTCATAAGCATTTACTTAGAAAGGCAAAGGAATGTCGGTGAAAGGTAAAATGTATATCGCTGGAAACACACCCAACAATGATTCTCAGTAATGTCCAGCTTGATGCCCTGCAGACACTGCAACATCCCAGAATGGCTTGTAAATCAAAGGTTACATTCCGCACACAGGAATTGTAGCAGGAAGTGCTTCTTATAGCATTACAATTCTGTGAAAACTGACCATCCACACAGGATAAAACCGCATGCACTATCTTTGGCAAACACTAGTCATCTATGACATATAGTCACTACTCCGGGCACGTGGCATCACAAAGACGCACGAGCCTCACCCCAACTCTGACTGCAAGGGGAGAGAAGCACCAGTCACTCCCAGATAGTGTGGGTGCAGAACAGAAAAGGGAGGCTCTTTCAGAGAGGACTGCAGACATCGGAACAATAAATTGAGAAGTTTAGCATATAATCTCCAGCCCCCTAGCCTAAGAAGGCTCCCCTGACCCAGAGAGAAGGGAAGTTATTGAATTAAATTTTTATAAATGAACATTTGGCACCTTTTACCTCGAGCAGCAATGGGACCTAAGCTCATTTTAAAGCAGTTGTGCTACTCAGGGTCACCAGTCCATCTGGTGCCTAACTCGCAGGGCTGCGTGGTGGCAGTACTCAACGGGCTCTGTGTGCAGGGAGAAATTAATCCTACAGCAGCTACACCAGACAGAGAGAGGTCTCGGCCCAATCCGCAGCAGGGCTTCCTCATCTGCTGGAGTTCTGTCTGAGCATTTCTGCAGCCTAGCCACCACAGAGCGCCGTGCACTTTGGTTTGGATGTTGACTTAATATGAAACTCCAGATAAAAGGAATGAGAAGTCTCTCTTCTCACCATGCCCTCCCCGCCTTCCTTGAACTTGGGGCCAGACCTCTGGGGAACGAGACGCTTGTATGCACACAGTCCAGAGGCCAGCACCAAGAGGGGACTCCCACCTCTCTCCCTGTTAGGGCTTTCAGAGGGAGCCGGAGCAGTCTCTACCTCGGCCGTGCAGAGCTGGGTAATTACCGGGCGGATGAGCTCAAGCCCCTTGCCCTGCTCACCTCCCACTAAAATGCACGGCACAGCACAATCATGAAATGTGCTTATTAATTTTACTCATTTGACACTGCGCTCTTCTGCCCTGAGCTCGATGTTAGGAGAAAATGATAGGGATAGATTCTGCTCCTGTCAGACTTACCAAGACTTCCAGAAAACCAAAGTATCAAAGGCCATCTGCCACCCACTAGCCAAGCAAGCAGGATGACCCTAAAGGTACAAACGGAATGCTAAAGATACAGATCAACAAAAGAGGGCATGGGAAGATGGGGAGACCCCTGCCCTGGGCTCAAGCTCCCTGCAAGCCCTCCAAGGAGAGTGACCCCTGAGCCCGTCCTCTCCCACAGCGGGAACTCCCAGTCCCTGCCTTGATTCATGACTTGCTGCTTCATCCCTAATTCATCAAAAGACACTTTGGCTTCTCAAATCAGGAACATTTTTATTAGCTTCCCCCAGAGTTTCGTGGCACAAAGCCATACCTAATGATTCTATTTTATGGAAAGTTATACATTCAAATCGTGCTTTGAAGTCAAGCAGCAGGAAAGACTCAAATGTTTGTCAGAAAAAGATTCTTTCACTTTTTCACTTTTAAAATGTTTATGAGCTTTCAAACAGTTGGAAAAGGGATGTGTAGCATTTGGACAGGCTCCTCTTTCCTTACCCAGGACCCAGCACTGGCTGACCCAGTACAGATCTGCCTTGACCACTGCAGTTCTCAAAGGGGGCTGATTCTGCCCGGCCACCCCCTGCTCCTGGAGACATCTGGCTATGTCTGGAGACATTCTGGGTTGTCACCACTAGGGGAGGAGGGACAGGTGCTACTGGTATTCACTAAGGAGAGGCCAGGAATGCTGCTTAACATCCTATGAAGCACAGGATAGCACAAAGAATTATCTGATTGTCTTGCCCGAAACGTCAACAGTGCCGAAGTTGGGAAACGCTGCCTTGGGGTATCTTCTGCTGGGCCAGGCATCGCATCCTCGTCACTGCAGGACATCAGACACTATTCTAATTGCTGTGGGAGGTTTTCAGTGTTGGCTAATGAGATTCGTGTTCTTTCACTCTTATGTATTCTTGGTGCCCATTTTCAGCGAATAAGCACAAAACGTCACAAAGTGAGGAACGTAAACCTAAGACCACCTTAGAATCTCAGAACACAGGATAATATCCATGTTAATTAAACCCCCGTAATGTTCCTCTGTACTTTGTAATCAGAATTTTACAACTGAAGCAGAATTTACCTATAGAAACAACAAAATAACCAGTTCCAATCATCAGGACTACTGAACGCCTGCACAGATGTCTGCTGAAAAGCAAGGAAAGTTCTCCACTAAATTGTGGTGGCGTGGTCAGCCACAGCGCTGGACTTGGAGGGAGTCTGGTCCTGATGATTCACCATATCCAAAGACTGGGACTCTGTTACTTCACTTCTCAGAGCTTGGGTTCTCCTAATCAGCAAAGAGGCGATACAGCTACTTGCCCTCCCAGCCTTCCAAAAGCCCATGAGAGTTAAATGAGTTCACAGGTAGAAAACATTTTAAACTGTAAAGAGCTACACAGATGTAGGACAATGCCTTTACAATATTTACACATGCATGACAATACATGACAACCACCAGGAGTCGTTCATAGACTCTGGATCCTTTTCATGAAATGTCACCACCAGAAGTTGAAAATCAATGAATCTAACTCCTTAATTTTACAGAAGGTGAAAATGACCATCATAGAGGTGGTCAAGGCCAGGAAATGGCCCAGATGGGCTCAGGTCTTCTAACTCCCAAACCAGGATGCTCTCCAGACCCTCCCTTGGTTAAGTTCCTAGAGGGAAGAAGCACATCCTAACACGCAAGGGTCAGAGGGTCTTGGACACAGGAGATAAATACTTGTAGAATCAGTGAGCAAAATGTACAAACTAGTATCTTGACTTACTACGTCATAGCCTGTCGGGGCTCGGTTCCGAGAAGCCACCACCCCGACTCCTGTGATGGGATCCATTGACGTTTCTGGCAAGGCTTCTGAGAGGTCTTTGACTTCAGGCATGGTGGACTGGTCCTGGTTCAGGAAAGGAAAAAGAAAGCATAAAATTCAAACATAGCATTTATGTGAATAATATAAAGTCTCAAACAGACAGAACCAGAATCTTGGGGCAAATACTCTGAGGTTCACATACCTGAACTAGTTGAATGAGTCCTGACCCTATGTGACCCTTTCCCTAGGTCAAGAATTCAAATCACCTCTGGTCCCCACTTTTCTCCAGCTTTGAACACTGAGCTAACATGAGAGCTTGTCTCTACTCTCAGGAGGTAAGTTTGACTCAAACCCAAGAGCACGTCATTCTTAACTCCGCCATCCAGCTGCTTGATTTCTAAACAGATACCAGCAGCTGCTCTGAAGACACGTCAGACATGGCTAAGCCTAACAACACCTTTCCTCTCTCTCCCTTGCAATCTCGCCTACGGAGGCCTAGACTTCCAAACCCACAGCCAAGGTTAGGCCTTCAGCAGGCAGAGCTTTGCAAAGAAGCAAAGAATGTTGTAAACATAGAAATAAGTGTTCTCGGCTTGGGTGAAGGAATGGTGTTGGACTCCCGGCTCCATGACTGACTAGCTGGTGACTTTGAGTAAGTAATTTAACCTCATGGACCCTTCATTTTCTCAGCTATAAAATGAGGTCATGATACTGACCCTTGCAGAGCTCCTGTGAGCACCAAGAGAGTCAAAGAGAGTAGATGTAAATGAAAGGTCTGGAGAGGTCCCTGGTACACAGTAGGCGCTCAAAAAAGCACATAAGGCTGGTGGGGTGTGGGACATACAAGTCCAGGTAACTGGTCAGAAATGTGATAGGCGTCACTCCCTAGGGGACTGGCAGATTCCCTTTGTTGTGTTTTACCCTCGGGTCATGTGGGCACTTACTCAAAGCCGAATAGTAACAATGATCATAATTCTTGCTGGGCACTTTGAGAGAAAGGGAGGGAAAATGGAATTATTATTCTGCTGCTGACTGCCTCTTGATGTGACCAGAGGAGACAGGTAGAATATAGAGAGCACTGGGTCTGGGCAGCTGGAGTGGCAGTGCACCAGAAAGCAAATAAGAGAGACACCACCATATGTAAATGAACCTAAGTACTTTTAAAAGGACAAGCAGTGAAAAAGAGCAAGTCAAATTCCACCTCCTTCTGCAGCAATTAAACTCCACTGGCTGTAGGTCTGCCAGATCTCTCAAGGCTGGTTACTGCTTCTAACACCAACCAAACACCCTACCTCACTAAGCAGGCAGGAAGAATATTCTTGCTTCTAGCCTAGAATTAGAAAAGGCAGAGGCCATTAAAAATGACTGCAGCCTCCTAAATAGGAACAATCAAAATGCCGTATGCAAGTCTCCCATGAAGTCAGTGGAACCCACAAAAAGCTCTGGAAACAGACTTGTCAGTGCAATGGAGCTGAGTCCTCGATCAAGGCTAGGAAGTGCCTGGCACAGCTGCAGTCTCCTCTTCTGTTTACAACAAAAGCTTAACAAAGTTATGCTTTACCTAATTCTTCTGAAAATAAGCTTCTAAACGGCCAGGGCAGGGGGTATCACACTGCATCACTGCATCATTTTCTACTTTCGAGTTTCATTTACCAGGCAGGTTTATCTGCATAAAACACAGGGCTTAGTGCTTCCTGCACACAGTAGGCATTAAGTAAATATTTATTGAGTGAATACACATGCATGTCCCCAGTAAAGGTTTAGAATTAAATATCTGCACCTGCAGATCCAGAGCAGGCACTGATCAAAAGGGCTCAGCACTTGAAAAATCCCGTAGTATTGGTACCATGAAAATAACATTGCTGCAGTTTGCAAAATATTGGTACCTGCTGTTGGTTACCAAGAATGCTTTGCAATTAACAACTCATTAACAGAATGTACGAATTCTGCCAGTGCTAAAATATCACGCTGTGAATTTAATAAAGAACATGTGAGGTAAGTTTTCTTTTTTTTTTTTTTTTTTTTTAAGATAGTATGGACTCTACTATCATAGAGAGAAAAGAAAGGGACAAAGAAAAAGGAGAAGAGAGAGGGAAGTGGGGTTAAGCATGAATAAGTAATATCTTATTTGCTGGTGGATTCATTGCCACACCCCCTGGTCACATCGTACCTCCCGGTACAATGATGACAATGGCCCTCTGCCTGGAGCCCGCTCTCAACAGCAGGAGGGAGGGTCACCAGGCCTTGGAAGAAGCCATGCTGCTCCCACAATGCCCTGCGGCGGCCCAGGAGAAGGTTCAAAGATGGCTGCAGACGGCCCCCGGCTGAGGCAGACAAAGGAGCTGGGCCTGGCCTGCCAAAGGGCCCCGCAGAGCTGCTCGCAGAGCATCTCCAACGCCCGCCGTTCTCTCTCCTTCCCCCCAGCTGCTGTGCCCCGGACAGACGAAGGCGGCCTTTGTGAAATATGGACAAATGGCTCCGGGCCGCGCGCGCTGCGGCCGACTCATGGAGGAAGCGCCATCACCAACCAAGGCAGCTTTTAATGAGAAACGCCCAAGATATCCATGGCAGGGGCCATCACTCAAAGCCGCTTACCCTGAATTACATATTTTCTGACTGCAAATTACTCTTAACGGCGTCTCTACCGGCACTTCAATTGACCTTCCTAACAAAAGGCCATTTATTAACTAGTGCTCCCCGTTTCCCAGGCCGCGCGGGCCTCAAGCCAGGAAGGATGGCCCCGCGGCTGAGGACTCCAGGAGGCCATTCATGCGAGCCCTCTCACATCAAATCCTGAGGCCTGGTTGCAACAACCCCAGGTTGTATCAACAGCTCCTCATCCAGCATCCATCTGTATCTCAAAGTCCAAACTGCCCACAAAACACACTGACAGGTCTGTAGCATTTGGACAGTGCTTTGCAGCTCTCAAGAAGCTTTCTCAGGCTCCTTCCCAGTTGAAGCTCACATCAAACCTGGTGGGTGACTGGGTCACCTCCCAGGAGTGGGACGACTGGTCTTCCTCCCTGGGTCTGGTCTGTTTTCCATTGTACTAGGCAGAAAGGCATCCAATTGAGAAAGCAGTTTCAACACTAATTATATTTTAAAATGCCAAAGCTTTTCATTCTCTAGCCACAGCTCAGTAAGTCAAGCAAGGGGGAAAAAAGTACAGAAGGATAAAAGTAGCATGGGATTAATTTTCCTCACACCTCAGTTTCAAGATTCAACATTCCCCTCATAAATAATTTACAACAATAAAAATGAGCTAAGTCCATGTTTGTGTAGGATGGAGGTAAATTTAGGCCTAATGAGGGAGATCCGAGCACCGCACAGGAGGGAATAGGTTGATCTATGGCACGGTGCGAGCAGGATCGACAGCTCACAGGGGCTCCATATCCAACTGGAAGTCGCAGGGCCAATCGGGAGGAGGGGGAAGCAAGATGGCGAAACTTGTGCCATCCCAGTTGTGGCTGCAAGGAAGGTCTCTATAGGGAACCTCCAAAGTTGACCCAGTGTTTTGGATGACAAGACAAATGTTGAGATTTTGCAGAACTATAGGATTGGGCCAATCTAAGTCTAGTCTCAATACATGCTGGGTAAGGAATAAAGGTGCTGGGATGCCAGGGACTCAAACTGGACCTTGAGCAGGTCCTCTCACTTTCACCTCGCAGGTAATCAGGTCCCAGAAGGTTCCATTCTGACCTCTCCCCTGAGCGGGCATACAGCCTCTGCAAGATCATTTCCAAGGCTAGGGACTGCAGAGCCTCGGTTCAGGCGTTGTCTGCTCCTGAGAGGCTTCCTCTGCAAGGCAGGAGAGTAGCGTGTGTGTGTGTGTGCACATACACATACACGTATGCACATGTGCCCACATGTGTACGGAATGGGAAAGCTGGGGAGGGTTAAGGTGAAGTGTTTTCTAAGCCAAGAGGATTTTTTCCACCATGCCATACTCAAAGAGCACCATACAAACCACACAACAAAGCCAGGAGCAAGCTTGCTTCCAGCTTCCGCCTGCAGTGCTGCAGATAGCGCTTGGGGAGGCCCCAGCTCCCGGCACTGCAGCACCTAGCACAAGACTGTCATCCCAGGTTCACGGAGAAATGAACTTTAACTATAAAGACCCTTCATACAGACGGCACACTGCTCCCTTGTAGCTGATCAAAGAATTACTACAACAGTGTGCTTAATCCCTGAAAGTCAGCAGTGCTGGGCTTAACTGATGCTGAACATTGTTTCGGAATCAAAGGCGTGCCTCCCGGCCCCAGTCTGGGAGAAAACTGAGCTACTGTATCACAGTTGAAAACTCAGGGGAACTTTGATATCATCTCTGTTTAATTTCCACGGCCCTCCTGAGCCTGGGGTTTATCTCGTTTTATCAACTCCTGTACTGAAATCAAAACGCAACTAACAAAGCTCAGACCTCTCTCCACCGAGGCCCTTCCAGCGGCGGGGTGTGGGCCGAGGAGTTTAAAGTGCTTTCAGGGAGCAACAACTGCAGGGGGCAGGGGGCGCTGCCTTCAAAGGAGGTGCTGTGGGCAGTGGGCCCACGTTCCAGCCTCCCGCCATCTCGGCCTCCTGCCGTGGTGACGCCGGCTCAGAAGCGGCGCCAGCGAGCACTGCTGGTCAAGGCTGAAAGCATGACTGGCATACAACTTTTGAGGAGAGTAATTTCAAAGTATTAAAGGGGGGCAGGCTAAATTGGGCTACTGTAATTGAAATGACAAAAACCGTGGCTTAATTACATCCCTACAGAAGGGCAAACTTGCGATCAGCTTGCTTGATATCCAAAGTCAAGGGCACCAAAGACAAAAACTGCCTGCTCACATCTACCAGCTTCCAGGGCTGAGGAAGGGAAAAGAATAAACATTTCATTCGCCGTGGGAAACGCCACAAGAGCAGGTGGCTGCTGGAAATGGGTTGTCCCCCAGTAAAAGCTGCTGCTCTGGCCTTCATAGAGAGGGTCTTTGCCTGTTTCCCAGCGGCAGCAATGGTCTGTAAGAATCCATGCCCACCTCTGGTGCCCCAGGATTACTGACACCTTTCTGCTGGCAAATTGCAAGCAAGGGTCAGAAGGACAGGCAAGGGACTGCCTATCCCCAAGGAGGGAACCTGTGGCCAGGCCTCACCAATGCACACCACACACAAACCCAACCACCTCCTTACAGAAAGGTGCAGAGACCTACCTCCTCAGAAGGCTGAGAGCTGGGGCCAGTGTCCATGCCGTGCCCAGTTAAATGGGCAGCTGGCTTTGAGGTCACCTGTGGGGGACAGTGCACAGACTTGAGAGGCTGTCACTGTGGAGCTTCAGGGTGGCATCCTGACACCTTCTGAACTTTAGACAGATTACCTGGTGACCAGTCAGAGTCAAATCACTCTGACAAATGCTGGTGGACATAGTCAGGTGGCAACAAGTCACTGGCTGCTAGAAGGACTGCTAAGTTGTTGGGCAACTAAGGTAAATATTTTTCTAAGCTCTCCTAGATCGCAAATAATTTTCCAGCTAGGGAACTAACAATTGTGAGCACTTCCTCTTCCCTGAAACAGAAGAATCCAGTGTATGCACATGTCTATTCAATCTGCCCTATGCTTAGATTTCTATTAACCATTTGATTACCAAACATAGATTTTGCATAAACCACATGAGGCAGGACTAGGGTTCAGATTCCTGCAACCCTTAAGGTGCAATGGTAGGTTCCAGGATTCACTTTCCAAAAATAAATCCAGGATCAAGTTCTATAGCACTGTCCTGGCCAAAGCCCTGCCCCTTACAGGCCTGACTCTGTGCAAACCAGGGAACATTACTCAAGGGTAGGGCATTCTCTGGTACACTGTGGGTACCACCTGCTTGCCCACGACTACTGCAAATGAGGGTAGTCTGTGTCCACTCCCATCAGGTCTTGCTGGATAGTGTCATATTGTCCCCTGTAGAGAAGGGAAAAAAAGGACCCTAACAGAAGGCAGATGCCTACAAATGAAACCATCCCCAGGGTCCCAAAAGCAATGGTTCCTGAGTGTTTGGTGATAGGAGTCACAGCTTGCCCTGAGGGGCACAGTGCTCACAGAGTAAAAACACTAATATCATCTCAGTGCCAGGCAAATGGGGGCCCCGGCCAGAATCATCAGAATACCTGTCCTCAGGCCAGCCAGGCCACCACACCCCTCTCGGACTTTCACATGGGTCTTGAGAATTTTTTTTTCATACATTTAGTCATCTAGTCATTCTACCCACATGCTAATGACTTCCAAAATACCTCCAAGCCAGGCTTTTCTCCTTAGACTCAGAGGTGTCTGTCTGGTGTCTTTGCCCACATGGCTCAGGAATACTTCAAATTTGGCTGACCTTGCCATCTTCCCCCTGAAGCATCCTCCCACATTCCCGGTCCCCACGGGGGCCTGGCGTGTGAACAGTGAGTCCACAAATGAGTATGGAGCCACTTTGGCTAAGCACTGAGGCTACAATAATGAGATGGAAAGTCCACATTCTGGAGTGGGAGTTATCCAACTTTAGCATGTGCAAAAATCACCAGGAGAGGTTGTGAAAGGCAGACATTCCTGAACCCCACCCCCTGAGATACTGATTCAGCAGGCCTGAGCTGGTCTAAGAACATGCATTTCTAACAAGCTCCCAGCTGACACTAAAACAGCTGGTCTACAGTCCAAAATTTAAGTACAAGAGAGCAGGTACTCATCGGGTATTTGATGAATGAATGAATGAATGGATGGATGGATGAAATGAACCTAAAGGTAATCTTCCATGGAGAAAAGAATGAATGAATGGATGAAATGAATCTAAAGGTAATCTTCCATGGGGAAAAGCCTCAGAATCAGCCCTCCAGTCTCCCCCTCCTTCCTCTTGACAGTTCAGCCAAGAGCACCAGGTTCCTCCCCTGCAGACACCCACCCCACCATTTAAAACCAGGGTCATGCATGGGCACGGTGGCTCACGCCTGTAATCCCAGCACTTTGAGAGGCCAAGATGGGCAGATCACGAGGTCAGGAGTTTGAGCCTGGCCAACATGGTGAAACCCCGTCTCTACTAAAAATACAAAAATTAGCTGGGTGTGGTTGTGAGTGCCTATAATCCCAGCTACTAGAGAGGGTGAGGCACAAGCATCACTTGAACCCAGGAGGAGGAGGTTGCAGTGAGCTGAGATGGTGCCACTGCACTCCAGCCTGGGTAACAGAGCCAGACCCCATCTCAAAAAAAATAAATAAATAAGTAAATAAATAAAACCAGGGTCACGGCCAGATGCAGTGGCTCACGCCTGTATTCCCAGCACCTTGGGAGTCTGAGGTAGATGGATCACGAGGTCAGGAGTTCGAGACCAGCCTGGCCAATATGGTGAAATCCTGTCTTTACTAAAAATACAAAACTTAGCCAGGCATGGTGGCACGTACCTGTAGTCCCAGCTACTTGGGAGGCTGAGGCAGAAAAATTGCTTGAACCTGGGAGGCAGAGGTTGCAGTGAGCCAAGATCGAGCCACTGCACTCCAGCCTGGGTGACAGAGTGAGAGTCTGTCTCAAAAAAAAACCAAACAGGGTCGCACCTTCCATTCCCTTCAAACCTTCTCCAATTGCCCAGCCAGACAGGTGCCACCACTCAGAATCCTGACATCATCCAAGCACTTAGTCTTAGCACACATATGTGCATACATGCATACATGCACTCATGCACACGTACACATACACACAGCCTTGCCTCTCAGAAGGCTAGAACACGCTTTCCCTAGCAGACCATAAGTTACTCAAAGGTGTGTTATGTCCACCACAATGCCCGCCTCACAGTGGGTGCTCAATAAATGGATTATGAATGAATGGGGAAGGATAAACAAACAAAATTCCTATCCTCTCAAAATTGTTAGGTTTCACTGGATTAAGGAGGGTACATAAAGGGGCAGGGGCACATAAAGGGGCGGGGGAATAGCAGAACTGTCAGACCCTTTCCAATGAAAGCCCGGGGTCTGCGGTCACTGATACCTCCATGCAGGACACACACCGTGACCCCAGAGGTTAGCCACTTGCAGAGGAGGGGGGAAGGGACTGCAGCACTTCCAGGGGATTCCAGATTTAGATCTAACTCAGTGCAGCCAGGCTGGATGTGGGCCTGTCAGGGGCCAATGGGCATCTAGGCTGGCTGCAGGAAGAATGCCCTGGAGAGCTTGTAGAAGCACAGCTTTCCCATTCCCTATCCTCGGGTTCTCATTTAATTGGTTCAGGCTGGGACTGAGACTGGAGAGCGCGCAGCCAAGGAGAAGCTCCACAGTGCTGGGTGATAGAGCAATGAATAAGACATGGAGCTCACGGGCTGTGGGAAATATCCCAAGAGAAAGGGACTGCAAAGGAGGGGACTCTTCCTTTGGCCTGGTCAGGCAGGGAGAGGTGAGCAAAGAACTGACCTCCCTGAAAGATGGGGGTGTGTGGAGTGGTGAAAGTCTTGCAAGCAGAAGACACAGCCTCAACAAAGGCACCGTGGTGTGAACACACAGGGACTGCTCGGGGAATTGCGAGGAGCAGATGGGCTCTGAAACAAGCTTATAAAATGCTTAAGAAAACAAATAAACAAAACACAATCAAACTGAACTAAAAAACCTGTCTGCACTTCTCTGCTGTTTCTAAGATCTAAGCAATGATGTTGAGCTACAGGAAGGGGCACCCCAGTGGTCTAACGGAAGAGATTTCCAGGCCTTCCGTTCATGCTTCCCCGCCTGCAACTGAACATTTCTCCAACCAACGCCCCTTCCTTCACACCTCCATGGGGCCTCCTTATGCTATTAGCTCCAAGCGGGGAATGGCAGGCAGAGCAGAGGAATGGAAGGGGTGCACCCCTTTGGAGTCCGAGGGACCTGAGCTTGAATCCCAGCTCTGAGACTTACTGCATAACCTTAGGCAAGTTAAACTAAACTGGGCCTGAGTTTCCATCCCTACAAAACCGGAATAGCAAATAATATTGTTTCTACAGAGTTATAATGTGTAGAAAGCATCAAGAATTTGCAGCAAAAGGCAGTCAACAGAGTGAAAAGGCAACCTATGGAATGGGAGGAAATATTTGCAAATCATATATCTGATGAGGAGTTAATATGTGAATCTATAAAGAACTCCTACAACTCAACAACAAAAACAAATTCCTTAATTTAAAAATGGGCAAAGGACTTGAATAACAAGTCTTTCCAAAGACAATATACGAATAGCCAACCACCACCCAGAAAGATGTTCAATATCACTTGCCACTAGGGAAATCAAATCCAAACCACATCTCACCTTATACTCATTACGATGGCTACAACCAAAAACAAACAAACATACCAACAAAATAACTGTTCACAAGCATGTGAAGACATTGGAAACTTTGGCACTCTGCTGGTGGGAATGTAAAATGGTACAGCCACTATTTTATGGAAAACAGTGTGGTGGTTCCTCAGAAAATTATAAATAGAATTACCATATGATTCAGCAATTCCACTTCTGGGTATCTACACAAAAGAATTTAAATCAGGTCTCAAAGAGAATTGTAGACCCATGTTCAGAGCAACATTATTCACAGTGGCCCAAAGATAGAAGCAACTCAAGCATCCATCTATGGATGAATAAACAAAATATGGTACACATATTCAATGGAGTATTATTCAGCCTTGAAAAGGAAGGAAATTCTGAAATGTGCTACAACATGATGAACCTTGAGGACAGTATGCTAAACTAAATAAGCCAGTCACAAAAAGACAAATACCATATGATCCACTTCTATGAATACCTAGGGTAGTTAAACTCGCAGAAACACAAAGCAGAATGGTGGTTGCCAGGGGTGAGGAAAGGGGGAATGGAAGGTTGTTTTATGAGCACAGAGTTTCAGTTTTGCCAGATGAAAAGTTCGGCAGTGTAGCTGCACCACACTGTGAATGTGCGTAATGCCACCAATCTGTGCACTTAAAAATGAGCAGGATGGTCAATTTTATGTTATGTGTATTTAACACTTTTTAAGAAAGCGTCAAGAACTGTAGGCCTCTAATTTTGGTAAGCAGAAGTATAACCCAAGGTGTCTGTTAAGCATGCAGATTCCAAGTCCCGTTCCCCAGAGATTCTGATTCAATGAAGTCTGAGTATGAGGTCCTAGAATCTGCATTTTCATCAACACCACAGGCATATTTAGCACATTATGAACTCATTTATTTCTCTCTTCTAAAAGATCAGGGGATATTCTTTTGAATATTCTGCTCTGCTGATTAGAATCTGTTTGTGTGTGTGTGTGTGTGTGTGTGTGTGTGTAAAGAAAGAAAGAACAAACTTGTGTTGACTCCTGCCACAGGTCCAACAAGATGGCCCTCCAGTCCTAAGGGAAGTAGGAGCTACAAAGCTACTATGTGCAACTCCTGGGCTCCAGGCCCACAGGGCTCTCACATTTCTGCCTGGACAAGCTCCGCATCTCGCCAGACGCGTGTCAAGTAAACCAAATGCATGCCCACAGGATGTCCCCAACAAGGGAGGTAATGTCAGGCACACTCTGCAGTGGCTTTGCCTCCCAGGCAGCTGGAGACAGATCTGACTCTGGCAAACCCACTGCAACTAGTGCAGACAGCACAGGGAAGCCATGATTCCCAAGGGCAGCCCAGCAAGTAGAAGGCCAAGGAGAGCCGGGGTTGAGGGGTGGGTAGTTGGCGAAATGCTGGCCAGGGTGGGCCTCGGTGAGAGACAGAGCAGCCTGGGGAGAAGGAGCTCATTCAAGAAACCCAGGCCTCCCCTCCACAACCCAACCTGCAAAGGAGACTCTGCAACACAGTGTGCTTATCCTAACCACATCCAGCCATGTAGTCATTTGTTATCTTCATCATCATCATAGCACCTTCAACTTTTCCCAGGCTTGACTCCAGCACCATCGTTATTTTGCAGTGTGGAAAGGGTGTCTCCCTTTGAGTATGGAGCACTTCCAGCAAACTCAGACAGAGGGGCCTATGCCATTTGGATTCTGATCCCCCCAGGAGCAGATCCTCCATGAAATGGATAGAGACTACACTTCTCCCTTATCCCTTCCAAGGCCCTGAGAGGGTATCCAGCAATGTGCTCACATGGTGGCGTGGTTCTGTAACATGTACAAACACAGGATATTTTTGTGTTCTTTTTCTTAAAGCTCTCCCCTCAACAAACTGTATAAACATCGGACCTGAAAAAAACACCACGATCTGCTGCTGGATGCTGAATCGCACTTAAATTTCATGAGGAGCCCCACCTCGTACAGTACCCAGTGCAGTCACATACATTAGCTCCTTCAGCCTTCTTGACTGATTAGCTTTATGGGGTAGGCTTTATTCTTAAGACACTTTTACATTACGGGAAATGGGGATTCAGAAAGTTTCTGTGACTCACTTAGGGTCACCTGGGGTCCAGGAGGTAGCCTGAGAGTCAAACACGAGCTCCTAAATCCAAGCCCAGTGTTCTTTCTACTATACCATCACTTCCTGGTTGTCCTGTTAAAGACTAAATAATAGGCCAGGCGTGGTGGCTCATGCCTGTAATCCCAGGAATTTGGGAGGCCAAGGCGGGAGGATTACTTAAGCTCTGGTGTTCAAGACCAGCTTGGGCAACATAGCAGGACCCCATCTCTACTAAAAATAATAACAATTTAAAAAATAGCCGAGCGTGGTGGCAGGTACCTATACTACTTGGGAGACTGAAGTGGGAGAATCTCTTGAGCCCAGGAGTTCAAGGCTGCAGTGAGCCATGATGGTGCCACTGCACTCCAGCTTGGGTGACAGTGAGACCCTGTCTCAAAAACAAACAAACAAACAAAAACTAAAAAAAAAAAAAAAAAAAAAAAAAAAAAAAAAAAAAAAAAAAACAAGACAGAAACTCTAAAAATAAATAAGCTACTCCTCTCATTCATCCGTTAACAAACCTCTC